GAGCCTAGATCGATCTTAATCGGTTCCGGGGAGTCTTGCAATTATGCTTGGCGTATCTCCCGTGACAGAGGTTTGCATTATGCGGAGCACTGAAAGTGGATGAGGGTGATTTAATTATGGTTTGTTTTAAGACTACAGTTTTGTGAATGTACTATAGGTTTCGTTGAACTTTGGTATAAAGCTTTGGACTTTGATAGCGTTGAACGCTGTCTTGTCTTAATTTTACAAAGTTGAGATGTAATCTAATCCTAGGTTTGACTAGGCTTATGTGCAACGCGCCATGGATGGAGGTCTGAGACCTTAGGCGCTATGCGCAATGTTCCTAGCGAGGTTTAAGGGCCATAAACACACCTTTTCTAGGCAACAAAAGCTCTCTTGGCGCGAGACTCTGACAGAATGTGTCAATGTTCTGTTCATTGAATAATTAAGGCTAACTAACTGTTGCAAAACATTAATTGCTAGCATAAATTGTTTGGTATTAGTGATACGGCTCGTACGCCGTTGAGTGTTACTCATTATGATATTAAGTCACTGCAAGCTGGAAACATGATTGGCCTAGGGCCGAGTCATCAAGGATAAGAAATATTCGATGTGTGCGCGTGGTAGTGTAAATATATTTTCCTAGACCGGTCGGCAGTGAAGGCACTACACTCATTGTCGGCAATTATCATGTTGGCGAAACGCCATAAAGCTCAAGGATAGGCTTGTATAATGTAAGTAGAGTGGAACGTCTAAAATCCCTTGGGTGGAGTGTTCTAGTTGCGTTTCACTTCACCGAATGTCGATCAAGACATCAGATGGCGTATAGAACACACTACTACGAGTAGTAATTAAGGAAAATCTATCGTTTTAAACCCAGAAGGGTGTAAGGTAATTGAAATAGACCTGGACGCCAGGTGGCAACTGTTAAGCGCCAGATTATGACATAGTGAAAATAGAGACTTTACGTAGTGAAATTAGTGATTCACTTTTAGCACATGTCAACGGAGTGACTGGCCAGATTTAAAAAAGTGTTAGTTTGGAAACTCTTGCGTCTCAAGGTCCTCGTTATGAGCGATACTAAAAGTCTAATAGCGAATTTGGCCAGGCCTTGAAGACAGAAGATTTATCCATATTAGAGGTCATTAGACCCGATGTCGACTGAACTTGTCGTCATTATAGTATTAGTCGGTCAAAGAGGACATCAAGGCGGCACTCGTTCCCTAGAGTAAACCTTCGATCACCCAAAATCCATTTTAATCCTTCAAAAAAAGTAATCTCTAGATGAGAGTATCACAATTCACCAAACTGGTTCATAATTGATAGTGGAATCATTCATGAAAATAATCCTGTTGCAGAAATCAATACTGCGTAGCGCGACAGTGGCCTCTACATTAGAAAAAAAGGATGAAGTCATTGACGATATCTTTCGTGCACAGCACGCGGCTGGCATAGTACGTGGGAGCAAGTCTCCGCACTCGACACCGAAGTTTTGTGTCAAAAAGCCAAATGGCAATGGCTCATTTTGTATGCTTACTATAAGTTCAATGTGTTCACTTCACCGGAACAGAAGCCTATTTCCAGAAATTGTGTTCTTCAGAACGCTATGGTAGGCTGTACCATTTATAGTGCACTCGATTTTGTCGATGGGTATTATCATTTGCTCATGCGAGCGAGTGATATTCCTCTCATAGCGGTTATTACTCCAAGCAGTATGCTCTGGGAGTGGCTCGTTATTCCACAAGGGCTGTATAATGCCCCGGCTACATTTAATTGTCTTGTGACGCGATTTTTCAGGTCTCACCGAGGATTTTCACAGAGCTATTTCAATAACATCTTTGTCCATATCGTGCAGACCATGGCATATCAGATGCGGACAATCACATTGACCATTTACGAGTAGTGCTCGAGTACATGCACACGAACAAGCCGTTTGATAATGCTTCGAAATGAATTTTAGTGCTGAAGAGATTAACTTTCTCGGGTCCTTTATTGGAAAGCGTGGCCTTCGGGCGGATCCCGCTACGGTACAGTCGATCGATGAATTTCCGGTTCCGTCGAGCCAATAGGACTTGCGTAAATGGTTCGGCCTTGCTAATTACTTGCACAACTACAGTAAACATTACGCTGACATGGTAAGTCCATAAAAAACATTCTCAAGAAGGATGCAGTTTGGTGTCGGGACGCATTCCATGCTCAAGCACTTGAAGCTATAAAGGACAGCCTCCTTGATGCTCCAAGTATGGCTTTACCTGACCCTGAGCGGCCTTTTGGTGCCGTCTGTGACGCTTCTAATTTTGCGTTTGGCTGTGCATTATTGCAGAGAGATGTCGATGTACTTGAGCACGTCATTGCGTTTGAGTCTCTTCAGCTCGAAGCTGCGGAGAAGGACTATCCAGATCACGGCAAGGAGTTACTTGCAATGAAAAAAAGAAGCATGCTCTTGTCAAGTAGAGGGTTCATCTACTTGGCTCAAACCCTATTGTGATCTTCACAGATCATGCGTCGTTACGCACTGCGAAACAGCCGCCTCACTTCTCACAGCGTATGGCCTGTTAGTTTTCATTTGTTGCTGTATAAAACTTCGAGGTTAAATATAAGCCGGGCAAGCAAAATGCTTTGGCTTATGCGTTGTCACGCAGACCTGATCCTAATATTGCTCATGTTACGACTCTGTAATCATCCATCGAGGATTTAATTCGTGCGGCATATGCATGTGATGAGCAACGTGTAGCATTGCTACATGCTCTTGAAAGAGAGGAGTTTCAAGACTCGGACATCAAATTGTCTTCACGTATATGTGCGAGCCTACATTGATATGTAATCGATCGTGGGTTGTTGTGCTTTGTCACGGGTGTTGAGGATGTGTCTCGCATCGTTGTTCCTCGTGATGAGGACTTGAAGTATCGTATCCTCTTTAAGGCAAATGACACGGTTTTAAGCGGTCATCTTGGTCGTGAGAAGACCTATAGCTCAGTTAGCCAGACATACTGGTGGACTAAGCTGTACGAATGGGTGAGTCCATATGTGCGTACATGTGAAACGTGTCAACGGGTCAAACCCTCAGCACATGCGGTTGCACCGTTTGCTAGTTTTCCTGTACCACTGGGCGTTAGGAGTCCATCAGTATGGACTTCATGTTTGGCCTGCCGAAGGATTCGGAAGGCAACCCTGGCATTTTAATCTTTGTTGACCGCTTGAGCAAGATGGCTCTTTAAAGGCTATGCCTGATTACATAGACGTGAAGGTACATCATAGCTATTATAGACCGTATGTTTCGACAACATGGTTGTCAGTGGCAGTATTCTTTAATACAGACTTACGCTTCACTGGGAAGTTCTAAAAGTACATGTCCAAGGTGCTGGACACCAGATTAAACATGTCTACAGCGAATCATCTGCAGACCGAAGGTCAAACTGAAAGCGTCAACCGTGTCATAGGTGACGTTTTGCGCAGCTTGTGATGATTCGCGTGGGCGTTAAAGCGCTATGCTCCCTGCAGTCGAGTTCGCTTTAAACAACGCTGTTCATGATTACTTTGGCTTTTTTAATTTTACGTGAATGGTCTTACTTCAACTAGCGTTTTGTTAATACTTCTTCTACGTGATTTTGGGCTTGATGTGAGAAGAACAGACTATCGGCTGGCTAATATTATCTTAACTGCTGTTCAGAAACAAGTGAGGGTATTTATTGCTTCGCGATTACATGTCGTACGACATGTACGTGACGCAATGGCTGACAGCCAGGACAAATAAAAGAAACAAGCTGATTTCAAAGGCAGAAATTGTACGGATTGTAAAGAAGTTGAATACCTAGTATTATTTGACGCTAAGATTCAATTTACCAAGGTGGTGTCAGCAATCATTCCTACCAAGTTGCGTCTTCGCTTCATTGGGCCAATTACGGTCGTGGCCAAGAAGGGCCTAACGTATGCGCTAAACCTTCCATGCAAAATGCGACAACACCCAGCGTTTAACTTCTGCTTTCTTATGCCTCACCTTGTTCCGTCGCTGGTGGACCACGAGGCGATCGCGCCAAAGAGTTGGAGACGCCACATGTCGAGGGACTTTTAAGAGAAGATCCAGTTGTCCCTCAAGCTGCGTTACTAGGTCACGCAGCTCGTGCACTGACTCTTCGCCGACGCCGCGAGATTCATCGACCATCGCCTGCTCTCGTTGACGATCAAGAAATTCAACAGAACCATGATGAACGAATTCTACAGTGACGTCGCTGCGACGGTTAGTGATAGTACTTGGTACAGTGGCGGGGGTCCCTTGAGTCAGAGAATAATGGAAGTACAAAGTGCCACTGCGGAACGATTGTCTGTACGCCATTGACGTTGTTTAAACGTCGTCTTTAGAGTCGGTTGACACAGACCGCTTCCCACTTGTCGGTACAAGAGTGTAGGAGGCTGCAGCAGGTACAGGTGTAGGTGCACTGAGGCGCGTGCCCGCTGCTGCTTCAGCATAGCGTTTGCAATAAAACGATCGCAGTTTGCCATTTGCCTCTTTGGCAAAATCAAAGCGTATCTTTCGTTAAGACCACCGTCAGCAAGCGAAGTGCTCTCTCGGAGATTCTACAGGCTTGGCAGAGAACGAGCTCTTTGAGTCCAACGCGTGAATACGACATCATTTACCTCCTCTGACTCAACAGGGAAAAGAATTAAAAGTATTATCCGCATGGCAAACACTGACGCACTTGCTGCCTACAGATCCAGCATGTCAAGGTAATCTTGAACAGTTATATACTCAACTCCAGGTATCTCGCTCTAAAAACCTTTCAGTCCGCTAGTGCTGTGGATGTGACAGACTTAAGACCCGTGATTCATGTTGCGAGTGGCTGTGCGGCTGTTTGACGAATGAGTTTTTTACATTCGATGTAGTGAAGCGGTAGCCACTGTGAGCATTGGCTGTAGATGCATATCGTGCTTGGCGCCTGCTGTCACCGGCCGACTGAAAATATGTTTCTGATTCTCATTAAGTGTGTTGTTTAACAACTCCAAAAAGGGTCGACGGCTGCACGCTATGCAAGCGGTGCGTATACCTCCTCGCGTTTCGCTGTTGGATTCGGCGCGATGCTCGTGGAGTCACGCACCGGTGTCGTAGCCGGAGAATGGCCGTAAATACTCGACACAGAGGTGTCACCCTCATAGCTCACCATATCCTCTTCGAAAAATTCTTCAAGGGTGTTGGACGATGGATTTAATTCCGTCGACATGAGATGTGCTGTGAACACGACAGTCAAGGACCAAGAGTTTGTGACTTCAAAGAGCAGTAGGAATTTTCGGCTAAAGGGTGACGACAGTTTGGTAAAAGAGGGTATAACGGTGTTACACGCGGTTATTGAGCCGGTTGCATTGTGTGTCCACACCAAGTATGATCGGTGGATTAAGTGAACAGTCTTCGTACTACGGACTTACGGTAACTCCGCACCTTGTTGTGCAAGGAAATGGGATCAGACTTTTTTAATAGGTTCGTAGTCTAGAAGTCAGTCAGACAAGAAACCAGGGTTTTATTGCTGCAGTTTAAGAATTTAGTAAGTTCTGTTTCCCTTTTGAATCGTTGGGAACGAGTGCCTAGTAAAGGCTTAGTGGTGTTAAGAGCATGAGCCATGTCAAGGCGCTTAGTCTTGTTTAAGTAGTAGTGATTAGTCAGTGTGTAATTCTGTGAATCTTAATCCCTTTGAACCCGGAATTGTTAAGATTGTAAGCCTGAACTACTCTATGTCATTGTTAGCTTGTAGTAACTAAGAGATTCTTTGAGTCTTAGACTTCCTCTGTCAAGGAGCGCTATGTAGCTCCGTTACAGCCGACGCCATTTCGTCTTGTACCTGCTCTAGAAGGGACGGTTCATGCTGCAAGAAGCCCTCAACAAGTGGAGTTAGCACCACCAGGTCTATTGATACAAGTATATACACTTGCTCTGGACCGAAATATGCGGCCAGTTTATCGAGCGCGTCCTTTAAAAGTTAAAGAGGAAAGTAGGGTTGTCCATCCTCACACAGGATTATTCTTCAAAAAACCAGGTGTAGATTAACTAGAAGCGCTACCAAGTGTAGAGGAGCTTTACATCTCCTTAGGTGAAAGAAAGACTTAGTGCTCATCGAGCAACTTTAGTTAAAAAGATCTAGGCTCTATGAGGCGGAAAGCGTAAAGCTTTAGTTCCTTGTTCCAGGGATCGAACGATATATTGAATCTAAAGCACTTCGTGTTCAAAAGTAGCTGCCTCTTAACGATCTATTTTCGACAATGCCCGCAAGGCACGTGTATTCGTCAAGATCAAAAGGGAAACTATATTCATTGAGTTTACATCTCTAAAGAATATCTCAATCCTGATATTTTTTTAATCCAGGCACTCATGTCCTAAAATAAGGTCTTCAAGAGCTTTCGTATCTTGTAACTGACACCCGTCGTACCCTATAACCGACAAGATATCTTATATCTGTTTATTGGGATGTCATTTCGCATTTTTAAGGCACAGGGTGTCAATAACCCACGATAATGTAACCTCTTTTTACCTCTCCTCTCAGACTTTCTATTTTGTAGCAGTGGAGCTCTTTAAAAATGCAAATGCTAAAAGAAAGTCACATGCTGCTCCGCGACAGTTTCAATCGCATTATAGGCAGTATAGTAGTCGCCATAACGCAGTGCGTTCTTATCCTACGAATTTTGCTTTATCGTCCTCAGAATTATTTTCATTGCAGAACGTCCCTCTCTCTAACTTTTTTTCTCTCCTCTTCCTCTATCAGCGGTTTAGGCATGCAGATCGAAGCCACTATATTTTCGAGTTTGTCCGTCAAGACAAGCGGACTGCACTGGATAAGCGGGTGGCGGTCACATCGCGACAAATCAATGACCTCGACGCGGCTGGAGCTTGTGCCGGTGTGTTCGCGACCGTTGTAATTGTCAGATTAACGTGAGGAAGCTCACTGTGGATCGCTTTCTCTCCTTGTCCTTATTGTGCTGCTGCCGCTACTACTCTTAATTTATTGGTGCGTTTAATGACAATGCTTAAGATGCAAAATCACTTTTGTCTCGTGCTGGGATTACTGGACCTCGTATGCTTTAACTATGACGGTAGAGTCCGTGGCATCAGGCGCTTAATGTAGCCTGGTCTGTTAGGAAATGAGTACTGCACTAAAAACTTAAGGCAGCAAATTCTAACTCCTTAATTCCTTGTAGCATACGCTCAGTACCCTGGAAAGTATTAAAAGGAGGACGTGTGTGAACACGGTTTGGCTGTATTGGCGCCAAAGGTTCTTATACGAGACGTACACAAGATGACGGCGCAATAATGCAGAGGACTATCATTTCTCCCCGATGACCTAGGACTAATACGTCAAGACAGAAAACGTAGTGCGGTCAAATCCTGCAGCTCATCTAGGACCGTCGACGTCAACTTTTCGCTGTTCATAAATTAAGTAAGCATTTAGACCGTCGACGTCAACTTTTTGCCGATCATAAGTTCGGATGGTGGACCGTCGCAACTGCTTGAATGTGGACGAGCTAGCTGTCAGGCTGCTAGGTGCGTGCGGCCGAGTAAAGTGGTAATTACAGCGTAAAAAGTACAAGGATAGGTCTGATGTCATTGGCTGACGTCACAGTCTATCGTCATTAGCTGACGTAACTTAAATAGCTTTTAGAAGGATCGAGACGGGTATACTTAGAGTAGCACAAGGTAGCGAACTAAGGACCTACATTAATTTAGTTTTTAATTTACCTAGTGAACGACTATTCGTCACATCTGGTAGCATCTTTCATCCCCGCCGTTCCAGCTGTCTGCCGTACCCGCCGTCTCTGCCGTCACTGCTGTACCCGCCGTCTCTTCCGTCACCGCCGTCTCTTCCGTCACTGCCGTCTCTTCCGTCACTGCCGTCTCCGCCGTTTTCGTCGTTACCGTCGTAACCGTTGCAACAGTCATAGCCGTAGTAATCGTCTTAGCCGCCGTAGCCGTCGTCGCCGTAGTAATCGCCGTCGTCGCTCAAGAGCAGTGATTTGGAAATTAATCGTGTTTCCTAATCTTTTTGAGGACAAGTGCAGTTTCTTATCGGCTATAAATCCTACCGGACCATTAATTCTGCTACTGTTATCGAGGTCATGGTTTTATAGACTATAAATCGACTCAGTTCGGAAATAAGTCAGTTTAATTAACGTAAGGTTAGTACTTCGGTTCATGACCCCCACCCGCGCAAGCAGCCTACGCCACTAGACATCAATGACTCGCTGGCACAGTTATCCGTGACAAAGCCGGATGCAGCCGTAAAGTGCCGTGCAGACCTACTGGAAGCAATCTGTCGCACAATACGCATTATTGTCCGCTTCGAGAAGCACCTAGACACGGCCCAACGCTCCGACTTGCACAAAAGCATCAAGACTCGGCTTGTGGCGCACGCTAGCGACTTGCTCAGATTTGAGAGCACTGTGAGCTTGCGCATCTTACGCGAGATTACCAAGCACACGAGTAAATCGCCCGAGTCCCGTATTTTGGACCACCAGGGTACAAGGGCGTGCTCGCCCGCCAACACCTGGCGGTTAAATCAAACAATTCGTTGAAGCCCGGATCAAAGGTTATCGATAGAAGTATCAAGACCATAGCTACGCCAAGTAAAATTAACTTATCGCTAGTGTTTAACAGTTACTGTTACGTTCCATAATGTCCACCCCAGTGATTTTCGATCAGCATGCAAAACTGCTGCAATCGATGGTTTCGAATATGTAGAACCAATCTCGGTTGCTAGAGCAGCTTCAAATGTCCACACAATTATCGGAAATCAATCTTGAAGGTGTAAAGCTTCCGACGTATGGTGGCAGATTAGACGAATCGTTCCACCTCTACAAGGAGCAAGTAGAGCCATACTTCATTGCACGAGGAGTGAACTGGAAGTGTCAGCAGCTCTCTCTACGTTTACTAGCCGTTTTTGGGGGGCTCACTAAAACAAGGAGCTGCTCAGTGGTATGCCATGGAAAAGCAGTAAATCACAACCGTGGACGACTTCTTTTTCAAAATCGATCGGGAAAAATCGTTCCTGCTAAATTTTCAAAAGCGTCTGCGTGAAGAAATGAATGACATGTGAGAGCGCGATTGCAAAGACCCTAATGAATATGTGAGCAAGTTCTACCACGTGGTAACTCAATTCCAAGACATGAGCGAACTGGACCGGATTATGTACTTCCTACACGGACTCTCTGGTCGCACGCGAGAAGAGGTCCAGTACTGTCCCTGTGCAACGTTGTCGGACGCTATCACTGTTGCGTTGGACGTTAACCGTTTGCATCCGTCGAATTATTCCCGGGGCAGATCACAAGATAAACCTAGGTGCAGGTTATACGACAATAGTCGTTGATATCAATCAGACACTGGCCTAGAGCAAATGGACGTTAGCATCGTGCAAATTCCTTCTCGGGACGAATGTCGTCGCCGAAATTTGTGTTTAAATGCGGTAGTCCGAATCATCGCTCCGCACAGTATCATCAGCGCTCCACACGTTCGGTTCAGAAAAACACGAATTCCTGACGAAACTATCAACATCAGGTACATCGTCAGCATGTCAACAATGTAGACAGCCGTTACGACGAATAGATTACAAGTGTTAACGACCGAGTCACGATCAATGTAGTGGAGGTACAAAGGAATTCTGAGGTACCATCTATTGTCATCCACTCAAGTAGCTCGGGGGCGGACATACCAGCGCAAATTCGGCTATTCTTTCGTGATGGTGTTATGGGTAATATAATCGTTAAGATTTTGATGGACTCGGGAGCGTCAACAAATCTAATCAGACCCGGTCTGGCGTCCAAAGTTCTTAGCGAACAGATGGTAACAAGTACGACGTTTCGATGGTACCTGTACATCGAGTCAGCCCATAAAGAGGGTAGAAGATACCACTTGAATTGAAGGTTTGGAGTTACCTAAAAAGCAGTTGACGGAATGGGATCTACCGGATACACATGACTTTAATTTTGGTCAATTAAGGTTTATAGTGTACAACTTCCAGATCAACTGGCGTACGCAACAAATTGAAGTTGCAGCACATACGACGTTCGAAGACGTATATGGTCCGACCTTCCAAGCAAAAATGACTAGCGGGGCCTACGAGGAAATATATCCATCAAAGGTTACCACCACAGACCATACGGAAATATCGCCCGAGCCGCAGCCATTACTGGAAGAATAGAAGGACGCATTCCCCGATCAACTTCCAGAGGTAATGCGCCCGACGCTATCGGTCAATTTTGAGCTACACATGAAGCCTGATGCGGTGCAGAGTTCTAGGGCTCCCTTCCGTCTATTGAAAGTGGAGCAGGACGCTTTCCAAGAATTAGCGGAGGAGAATATACGGAAAGGATGGATCGAGGTGTCCAACTCTCCATGGGTCTTAATTATCTTTGGTATTCCCAAAAATGATCCTGTAACCGAAAGGTTCCCAAAACTCACCGAATGGCTGCGCAGAGGAAATTCCGAGATCCCCAATCGATGGGTCACTGACTACCACGATGTTAATAGCATGTCTGTCGCGGCAAAAATTCCTTTGCCATTGATCGAGGAACTGTCCGACCGCATGGTCGGATGTAAGTTTTTTACGCTTCTAGATCTTTCGCAAGGGTACCATCAAATGGTAGTCTTACCATCAAGTCGACCCTATACGGCTTTTTGCACCCAACAGGAAATGTATTAATGGTGTGTAGCACCCATGGGCTTATCCGGAATGCCTGATGTCTAGTCGTGGCTTATGCGACCAACTCGGAACCTTTGTCGTGGTGTATCTTTACAACACATGTATTTTATTTCGTACAATGCAGGATCACGTCGGCCACGTTCGCGCACTATGCGCCGTGTTTCGCAAAGGGAGAGGCTTTATGCACAATTTTATAAATCTGCGTTTGGTCGTAACGAGACTGCATTTTTAGGGCGTAGTTTCCGACGAGGGTCTACCGGTCGAACCAAAGAAAACCGATGCTATTGCAACGTTTCAGGCGCCGACGTGCCGCAAGGAGCTGCTGAGTTTTCTCGGACTCGCTGGGTATTACCGTCGCTCCATCTTTGATTTTGCCAAGCTGTCACGTCCCCTTCGAGCATTAACCAATTATGATACTCGCTGGAGCTGGGGGGGGGTGATCAGCAGCGATCATTTCACGCATTATCACTCGCACTTCAGCAGGCTCCGAGGCTAAAGCTACCAGACCTTTTGCACCCTTTTTTGTCACTACGGATGTGTCTGAATTCTGCATGGGCGGTGTCCTCTCTCAGCGCATTAATAATAACGACCACCCCCATTGTATTTAAAATAAAACATCTGGGCCCCCACGAATTAAAATGGACAGCCCATGAAAAAGTGCGGTGGAGTGGCGGTCGCTCAATTTATGAGTCAATCTTCACTCTTAACTGGCGCCCGGAAGACCGAATAACGGAGGAGGTACTCCGATTTTGTGTGTGTTGCCTTCCTCACCTTGTGTACCCGTCAGTAGGGATGATTGCACTCTTCTAGGTGGACTCGTGGCGAAGGAAAACTTGACCATGTTGGGGATGGGGTTGTGATCGTGCGGAAATCTTCACGCGATCATAGGGTACTTGTGGGCACTGGTATAAGTTACCCTGATCTCAACGAGCTCGCCTTGTCCACTATGTGGTTGCTTGATCCGCGAGCCTTCTGACCACTTGAGCCGTCTCGCGATCTTGCGCCTTGTCTTTACGTGTTTGGCTGCGTCGGATCGCACTTGATGTTGCTTGAGAGTTCTTGAACACACCTGGCCTAAACAATCCAGGTGCGATACTTGCGTAGACGTGTAGCGCGACTCTTTATTCGACGGGGGGCCAAAAAACAAAGATCCTACCCGGAATAGATAACGTGTGCCTTGTGAAGTAAATTGAACTCTGTTTAATGTTAACCAACCAACCTAAACCCTACCCCTATGCCTATCCGTATAACCTAACCATATGCCACGCGTCGCCTTTCCAGGAAGATCGTCCCCTCGCATTTGTGTGGTCCACACCCAGTATATCAGCAGTTGTATCTCCTTGTGGCCCACCTAAGATATCCCCATTATCCTGCTAGCGGATCGTGATCCTGTTAGCGGATCGTGATCCTACTAGCGGATCGTGATTCTACTAGCGGATCGTGATCCTATTAGCGGATCGTGATCCTACCAGCGGTTCGCAGCTGCGATCGGACTTGCGATCCTGGGTTAGGATCGCGGTCTTCCAGTGAGATTGAGGGTCTTGTCTTGCCAATTCTCACGACGGATTGCGTACTCAAAACGGGTGTGACACCTATAGCCTTGTCCCCGGCTGGACGATCCCGTCCACTTGGGGTTTGAATATGCTATTACCAGCTACCCGTCCCGGCCTGTATCCACCAATCATAGCTTTCTTGGCTTAACTGAAGCGTGCGACCCGTGCGATCGCCGATCCAAGTCCCAATAGAAATTACCTTGTGACCGCTTTCCTACAACCGTCCCCTGCACCGTCAGTCATCATACAGGGTTGATCTGGATGTGCAACCTTGTGTGCTTTATTCCTTTTCCCGCTTTTTCGCATTCTCTGACACGATGTCCGATCCAGCTTATCTGGATCAGGTATCTCCTCCTGCTTCAGGATCGGGGCCCCTCAGATCGCCCTTGCGATCCCAACTTCAGGAGTCGGAACCTCGACGCATATCAGTCATGCGTTTACAGACGCCTCTACCGTGCCGGTAACCTAGTGTGATCACTCAGCTGTGGTGACGTCGTCTTAGATGGGGGAAGGCTCTGGTTGTTTTACCATCGCGATCCCTCTGTCGCGGTCCTCTTCAATTCTCGCTCCGGACAGGACATCCGCCGGCCAAAACGCCCAACTCCAGATCCTTCATCTTGTTCTTCATCTTAACATCAACTTCGTTTTTTCGGCTTTCCAACCGCGATCGGATCCCTTCGATCCGCTATCGC